AAACTGCAAATCAAAAATGGAGATCCAAAACTGAAAAATCAGTACTGTACCAAACTGAAAAAGGGTTGAACCGAATCAAAAACAGTTGAATCGAACCAAAATATTCCAAACCGAACCAAATCTGACTGAAACGAACTGAAACCGGTCGAAACGATCCGACAATGAACTGAACCGGACTGAAAAACGTTGAACCAGTCCTACAACGATTTGAACCGAGCCTAAAAGAGCCGAACTGGCTGGACCGAATCAAGTGAACCGAACCCGTTGAACCGGACTATCTGAACCGAACTGGACAAACCGGGTTGACTGGACAGGACATAACAGCAAAGGACGACGGCGGCAACGGTGGCGGCGACGAACAATAGCGGTGATGGTGACCATTGTCGGTGACGAAGGACGGCGAAACCCACGAATAGCACTCGAAAAACAGCAGCGCTGGCGAATCAGCAAACGGCGCCGGCGCCGGCGGTCGTCGGCGGTCGGCGGAGGTCAGCGGTGGCTGGCGGTGGTCGACGGCGGTCGGCAGTGGCCGTGAGTTGAGCGGTGGCAGTAATGAACAAAATTTTAATGGACAAAAACCCTAATGGGCATCAAAACCCGAATTGGCACAAAACCCTAATGGGCACAAAAAACTAAGTTAAAATTTTTTTTTTTAAGAAACCTAGAGCTCTGATACCATGTTAATAATAAGAAAAGAAAATAATTCTTCCTTGATTACTCCAAATGATTGATACAAGACTATATAAATAGTAGTCACAAAGAAGAAACTAAAAAGAAATTCTTGCTTATTAGGATAATGAAATACTTACCTATTAGAAGAATAAAACCCTAACCTAAATAAAATAGGAAACCTTTAAAATAAAATAAACTATAATATAACAATATCTTCTTTTCTCTTTCAATTTTCTTTCATTATAACTTTTATTTCTCTTTGTATTTATTTATTTTCTCTAACAAGTATATTTTGAATGTTGTTTTTATCCCTGCCCTCATATAAGGATTCTTTAACATGAATCAATTCACAGAAGGAAGAACAAGGTAGAGCCGGGGACTAAAATTTTTCATAAGCATGAGAAAGGGAAAGGAGATCCTCACTCCCGCTCCACACTATTGTCATCCCTACTTTACATAAAATTTTCTCTCTCTAATATATATTTTCAAATTTTTAACTTTTAAAAAATAGACAACTAAAAATGATTAGCAAACATGTTTCGTTTTCTGTTTTTTTTTTTTTAAAAAACAGTTACCAAACATATATGGGTTTTTGTTAACAGAAAACTAAAATCCAAAAAATAGAAAACATAACAACCAAAAACAAAAGACAAAAATTGTTATCAAATGGGCCCTAAACAACCCGTTAATAAAGTTGAAAGTATACTTTGGGACTCATCTGACAGCCGGTGTGGTGTTGACTTGAGACATTTTGATGCTCAAGATAGAGCTAGATGTATATGAGAAAGAGAGTGAAATTTAGAGAGTGAAAGTACTCCTCGAGTTATTCACGTCTCCGGAAGAGTAGTCCTATTGAATAGAGAACATCCCTTAGAATTAGGGAGAGTTGGTAATGAACATTCGCTTCCATAAAAACTCGCTTCCATGTCACTCTTAATTCGTTGAATGCAAAGAGTAACAGGAAGGGTTGAGTTTAGTGGAAGAGTCTATTTAAGACTTTGTCTTCTAACTTAGTCTTGAATGAGGTCGAGATTCACTAGGCTCGAAGTTTGTATGAAACTTTGAACCCTATATCCTAAGTACTACCTCTTGGAAGGCTGATATTTGGCACCTCAAGGTATAATAGATTCTTTCAATCCAATTCGAGGAACAACAATTTTGAGCTTGCAAAGTTTTAGACTACTTACTAACTATTTACAATTAAAAATGTTACAAACTAAATAATACGAGTTATAGCCTTTCAAGTTTCTATAATTTATTATTCTTTCTATCACTACAATGCATGCTATATAAACTTCAATTTTATAATCTCAAGCTTAATAAATAGCCACCAATTAAAACTACAAGAGCTATATGTGTATAATTTCTTTTTTGAAAGACAACTAAAAAGAAAGACGTACATTGATTTCGTGCTAAAGAAAAATAATGCTCCACGCCTTGCACACAAATATAATTTTCACTTTACACAGAAAACAATGTATTTTTTAAATATGTTTGTAGTTTTATATTTTATTAGAAAGGACCACATTGTTTGACTTTTCAAACATATACAGCGTGCGACACGTTCGAAGTAATTTATTATTTTTTATAGTTGACCCAGAAAAAATCTAATTTATTTACTCATATAAAGAGATAGCGTAACAACCCAAAACCATCACATGCTATAGTTCGACATAATATTAAATAATAATAATAAATTAAAAATCATTATTTTTTGTTAGATCTTAGAGTCCTTAATGCGTACAAATGGATAACGGAGTCACAATATTTATATACATGGAAGCCGACCAAATTATGGATTCAATAGATGGTTGGATCAAATTAGGGTGTGTTTGGTCGGTGATGTGAAAAATAATGGATTTAATGAAAAGTAGAGTTATATTTTTTTATGTTTCTAGTATTTTCAAATTTAAATATTAAATCTCAATTTAAAAAATTTGTTTTAGGTGTGTTTCGTAATATATTTGTAAACTAGTGATATTTATCAATTAAATATTTAATTCAATTTAAAAATAATATTAATCGATTTATTAATATTTTTGTTAATAAATGTTAAGCATATTACACGTGTTGATTCGTAGAATCCCGACTTCAAGTTGGACAACTGACCTGGAGGCCCAACAGCAACAACTGTCGGTCGAAGCGGTTGTAAC